GGTAATAATCCCCTTAGAGGGTGTCGGTCTATGCCAGATACCTTATGAAATACTTTTCTATCCTGCTTTTCCAGAAGGTGTTTAATAGAAAATGATTTAGATGTATATTTACGTTTGTGACATCTATCCAGAAAACACTGCATTGCTGTCCGCTCCGCCTCAGAAGCACCATATACCGACAACCCATAAGTGATGCTAGGAATCATAATTTGTTTCTGTTCACCTGGTTGGAATGTAAAGCATGCTATGGAATCATAATTTGTTTCTGTTCACCTGGTTGGAATGTAAAGCATGCAGAAGGAGGCTCTGGATTCTCGAGGGCTCGTCGATTCCAGTCAAGCTGTACAACTCAGATTGATTTTAAATTTCACTGTGGGCTTTGCTAACAATGTTATAATTTTACATGGAAAATAAGTAAAATAAGCTATTGAATTTCCCTCTTTCTTGTTTTAATTTTAATATAGGAAAAGGACTGTGATTGGCTGGGGCCGTCAATTGACAGAACCTGTGAATGGTGTTCTTCGCCTGATTTTATGAGAGGTGACCTCCCAAGATATATTGATAAACAATTGGATGAATGGCCAGCAGATTTATTATTGGATCTCTGCTACTGCTTTGACTGTGTACAGGAGTATCACAGGCTACAGGAAGAGTTGACTGAACAGAGGCAAAAAAAGGTGTGGTGACTGTTTGATTCTTGTATCATGCACCAATCAATGTCTTGCCCCAACGGGGGGAGCCCAGGCATAACCAGGGGCTATTGACATTTTTGAAAAAAAAATTGTCAATAAGCCCCTCTGGAGGGCCTTATTAGAATGACAATAGGCCCCTCACAAGCAGGAAAGATACCTGTTTAATAATCTAAGGAATACCAGGACACTGAGAGGTATATTTCCTCAAAAGAAGTTGAGGAGTATGCCACGAGCGAGACTGTCAAACAAAGTTTCAACTTTAACTTTTTTTCCTATTTATATATGCACAGAATGTGCAGAAATTGAATGGAAACTTATTGTACTGGCTATTAAAAAATGAAAAATAAACAAGCTGAATGTATTTAAGTTTTTTCTTACCATTTTTGACTTCTGTTGACTTAGTTGGCACGAAAGCCGCCATTTTGATTTATGCCAACTTGACTGTCTTTCCCAGTCCTTCTCTGATGAAGTGGTCAATAAACCCCACCCTGGGGTGAGCCCTGTGTCAATAAAAGTTTACAGCCCCTCCCCCGGGCAAGGCTATTTTGTCAATAGCCCGTGTATGCCCGGGCTCTCCCCGTTTGGGCAAGACATTGATTGGTGCATCAGTCCGGTCCAAGTCTCAAAGAAATTTCTAAATGTTAAGGTTTGAGTCTGAATATATGAAACCACCTGTTGATCATATTGAATCGATTGGCATGTTTAAAAGTATACATGTAGCTGTCGCATTGTAAGTCCTTATTGACATACATTTAGCAAGAGGGCTGGATGGGAAAATATTTAACCGTAGGTTGTGAGGTGTGTTGAGACTAGGGGCATGGAGTTTGCTGTGTCATTAATAAGAAGCAAATGTTTTCCAGTTTCCTTATGGTTTTCTGCATTATTGTACAAGCAGGGCCTGGTGGGTCATTTGATAGTACTGAGTATGCCATGTGGTTATGAAATGAGTATGCTTGCAAACAAAAATTAATTTTGATAAAAGTGAAAATGTGTTTACACCCGTGTTTCTTTTGGAACCGTATTAAAGTTTACAAGAGCACAATAGCCTTTCTCTGTAATGTACAGTTGAACATTTATATATTAAGGAAAATGACAATTTTAGGGCTTGCAAGTCATATATGACAATTTGGGGTCTGATAATGGCTGTGAGAATTTTGATTTTATCATAGGTTTTCTAGCATGACCAAAATCACGTTTTTACTGTTTTGCACAATAAAATATACATATGTCTTTGTTACAAGGATTAATTTTGTTCCATGGTAGGTTTTGCAGCACCTGGATGTTGACAGACTGAAACTGACAATCAGCAGTGCCTTAGGAGATGCAGAATGTGGAGAAGGATCTTTTCCGTATATGCAGGTTTGTTCAGCCAATATCATTGCATGCTGACGGCGTGCGACTTTACTTATCCTGAGGTCAGAATAAATGCTGGGATTGGCTAACACTGCACCAGGTCCCTAAAGGAGCATGTTGTTTCACACGGCCTCGTTCTTAATTGTTGTTGTTTGAGATGCAGAACCAAGAAAAGCTTTGTAAATTATTTTGAATTAGTGTGTTTGCAAACCTTTTTTCTTTTTGTGATGGGTGGAGGAGATCATTGATCTGTGTGGGAATGTTAAAATGACTAAAGACATCTCATAAAGTGCAAAATTTAAAAAAAAACCTTTTTTTCATTTCATGGGTTTCTGCAGAAGTCCACATAAGTTATTACACCTTCTGTTCCATCCCATTTCACGTTGCCTGGATACTTCACAAAGCTTCACAAATGTTTTAATAAAGTGTAAGTTTGCAACTTTCTTTCCCTCTACGATGGGCCAAGGAGGTGATGTCACAATAACTAAAGTTATCCTTTAGGTTACTTGAATTTAGAGAAGATCTTTTATTTTCATTTCGTGGTACGGTAAAATGTTTTGTTCCTGACACCGTCAGCTTCCATCACAGTTGTGATGCCTGTTTTTCTCTTCTTTGCCCCAATTGGTGGTTTATCCCTTTGGCTTTCCTAAGAAATAAACATTTAATTTCTAAATCACAGGGTATGCTCAAAGCCATTCTGCAAACGTTTGAGTTTACCATTGCATGCAACCAGAAGGTAGAGAAGATACATGAACTGTATACTATATTCTCTTGATCAGAATCGATTGATAACATAGGCATGCTATGCATGCAGGAGTTATTTTTTTGGATATGTGGGTTGAAATGGGACACTTAGTAACTGATGCTGGTGTCTGAATAGTTGTTGGCAATAATAACCTGCATTGACACCACGCTTCCCACAGTCATCTCCACAGCCCTAATTTGAACTCATCACGCAACACTCTTTCTCCAACGTTGCATGACGAGTTCAAATGATCATAGGCTATAATAATGCTTACTCTCCCGTCTTTATCAGAGACAAAACCGTGACTATTATTCTGGCTGTATTAAAGGGCCACACTCAGTAATTCTGTTTGGTTTTTTCTGTGCAGAAAATTGCACAATAGGTGTTACGTAGCACTTTTTAATTGGTGTAAAGCAATGTGGTGGACATAGCCTAGGAATGAGGCTGAGTTTGGCATAGAATGTCAGTCAGGCTTAAAATGCTGGGCCAATAACCAAGCTTGTTACAGTTTAATTTGGATATATATCTACAAAGTTGAAATGGTAAATTGGCCACCGTAACGATTACAAAAGCTGAGGTTTCGAGCGTTAGCCCTTCGTCAGAGCGAAGGGCTAATGACGAAGGGCTAACGCTCGAAACGT